TGACACTCGACAGTGAGGAAACAACACAGTTAAAGAATGGGCCAGAGACCTTAACAGACACCTCATCAAAGAAGATACACAGATGGCGAATAAGCATATAAAAGATGCTCCACATCATATGTCATCAGGGAAACACAAAACGAGATCCCACGACACACCTGCTGGAATGGCCAAAATCCAGAGCACCGATGACACCAGATGCTGGTGAGGACGCGGAGCAACAGGAACGCTCACTCATGGCTGGTGGGAGAGCAGAACGGTGCAGCCACTTTGCAGGACGGTTTAGAGATTTCTTACAAAATTAAACATGCTCTTACCATGTGATCCAGCAACCATGGCCCTTGGTATTTACCCCAAAGAGCTGAAAACTTACAGCCACATCAAGACCTGTGCATGGATGTATGTAACAGCTTTATTCAGAGTCACCAAAACCTGGAAGCAACCGAGACGTCCTTCGGTAGGTGAACAGATACGTGACCCGCAGTCCATCCGGACGATGGGATGTCATTCAGCGCTACATAGAAATGAGCTCTCGAGCCATGGAAAGACATGGAGGGACCTTAAATGCATATTGCTAAGTGAGAGAAGCCAGTTGGAAAAGGCTCCATACTGTGTGATTCCAGGTCTCTGACACTCTGGAAAAGGCAGAACCATGGAGACAGATGAGTGGTCGCCAGGGGTTGGGGGGAGGGAGGGACAGTCAGAGCCCAGAGGATTTAGGGCAGGGAGTCTACTCTGTATGACACCCTACTGGTGGACGCACGTCATGACACGTTTGTCCAAACCCACGGAAGGTCCAGCACCTGGAGTGAGACCTGAGGTCAACTAGACGCTGGGTGATGATGATGCTTCATGATCATGTCCCCGTGTAGGTTCATCGACCGTAACAAATGCACCACTAGTGGGGATGATGATAATTGGGGAGACTGTACATGAGCAGGGGTAGGGGGTGTATGGGAAATCTCTGTACCTTCCCCTCAATTGAAGGGAACCTAAAACTCCTCTAAAAAAAATAAAGCCTTAACTAAAAAAAGAAAAGAAAAGAAAAGACCCAAGACAGACAGGTTTGAGGAGAGCAGGAGTAGTGGTCCCCATCATATCTCCATTGAATTCACCTGTCCGGCCTTTGCAGAAAACAGATGAATAATGGTGGAAGAGGACGGACGACAATGAACTTGAACAGGTGGCAGAACCGGTCAGATGGGCTGTGCACAACTGATTTGGCAAAGGCTTTCCTCTCAACATCCATCACTGGGAGGATCCAGAGCACCTCCCTGCCCCAATCTGGCCAAGACAGCAATTCACCATCACTGTCTTCTCTCAGGACCAAGCCATGCTCTGGCTTCCTGTGGTAATACAGCTTACAGGGAGTGTAGGAGGCAGAAGAAGGGCCCCCCGCCAAATGTCCATGTCCTGTTCCCTAGAGCCTGGAAATGTGCTGTGTTACATGCAGGAGGGAATTAAGGCTGCTAATCAGGTGACCTTAAAATAGGGTGATCATGCTGCATTATGCGGGTAGATCCAATGTAATCACAAGGGGAGAGAGAGGCAGAAGAGACTCGGAGAAGGTCAGACAGATGCAACAGTGCTGACCTGGAAGGCAGCGGGAGGCCACGAGCCAAGGAACATGGGCACCTCCGGAAAGTGGAGGACAAGGACCCAGATTTCCCTCTAGAGCCTCCAAGCAGGGTTGCAGTTCCCAAGGCCTTTATGGTAACCCACTGAGGCCCCGTGTCAGACTTCTAACCTACAGAAGAGCAAGAGAATAAGTTTGCACTGTTTTAAACTGATACATGTGTGCTAGTTGCAGCCATAGGAAGCGAACACAGGAACCTAGATCGTCCTGGTGCCGCCCCGATCCTCAGACTTCCAGACGTAGGGAGACAAAACCACCAGTCTGGGGAAGCTGTCGGGGTTCGTGGATCTGGAGCTTGCTAGGACATTGTAAGGTAAAAAAAAAATGGTTCTGGGGCGCCTGGGTGGCTCAGTTGGTTAAGCGACTGCCTTCGGCTCAGGTCATGATCCTGGAGTCCCGGGATCGAGTCCCGCATCGGGCTCCCTGCTTGGCAGGGGGTCTGCTTCTCCCTCTGCCCTCTTCCCTCTCGTGCTCTCTGTCTCTCATTCTCTCTCTCTCAAATAAAGAAATAAAATCTTTAAAAAAAAAAAAATGGTTGTGCCTTGTACCTCCTTCCTCAAGAAAGAAGCCCAGTGGTGGGCAAGCCTGTTAGAACATCTGAGCAGCATCATGTCTCTGGGAATACTGCACACCCCATTTGCTGGGAGGCCCAGAAGGCTAATGGTCCCAGCAGGGCCCAGAGGTTGTGGCTGAGGCATGAACTGCCAGGCTGGGGCCACCTCATCAGCAGGTCCGACATGCTGTAGGCATTTGTGGGCAGAAGGGTGCCCTGTGGAACCTCTGGTGAGCCTCCACAAGAAAGGTGCGGCAGGGTTCCAAGGTTCTAGAGTAAGGCTGTGCCTTCCACGGCAGAACACTCTTCTTGGTTTGGGGAAGAGCTCCTGACCTCCTGGCCCTGGTGGAGGCTGGAAGTCCAACCAGGGCAGGAGGGAACATGCCGCCCGAGGAACCCATCACAACCTGCGGTCCTCACTCCAGGGACTCCTGGCATCGGGCGGATACAGCGGGAATCCATCGCATGGTAGAAATGAAATGCCGGGAAGGCCTGAGTCCCTTCCATGAGCCAGGCAGCCGTGCCACGCTCTCCTCCCTTCTGTAGTATCGATGCCTCTCCTCAGCCCACAGCACAGCGGAGGAAAGCTTCGGCCGGAACACACACAGCTGAGTCCACCCAGCGGCGCTAACTCAGACTGCCCGCCGTCGTCCTCCTCCGTCAGGAGACCCTGCGGGGCAGCGGGGCCGACAGTCTCCGGGGGGACCCTGGTCATCTACTCCCCGTGGATGGGAAGAGTGGCCTGGGGGGCGCAGAAAACTGCCCCCAGGACAACGGGGAAAGGCTTGGCTGGTTCATCAGGAGCCGGAAATGGACAGAGACAAGCAGGGCTGGGAAAGGCACGTGGGGGGCAGGCAGCAGGAGCAGCCCCCCGTGCTGGCTCTGCCTCTCACTGTGACGGCCCCGGAGAGAGTCCACTGCAGAGGAGATGGACGGCCTAGGGATGCCGGCCAGCCTCTCTCCTCGGCCACCCGGTGCGGCTGCGAAAGCCAGTGCATGGAGTGGCCGAGGGGGGAGGGATGCTGGGGACACTTGGGCCCTAAGCACGAGCCCCCCACACCAAGGCCGAGCAGACACTGTCCTGCCCAATCACGTTCTTGGTGCCAACTCCTATGCTCTGGCTGATGATTTGGGCAGGTCATCAGAAACGTGGGTGATGGCGACGAGACTGGGGGAGATGCCCTCTGAACGGACTTCTCAGAATAAACCCAGGCTCTGAGAACGGTTTGTTTGTGTGATGGTGACCAGGTGTCCTCACTGCAAAGGAGGCTCTGGGCTAGCAAACGGACACAGACTTGTTCCCGGCTCACAAGCCATGTGGCCACGGCAGCAGAGTGGGGCCTACGGACGTCCTCATCCTCTGGGTGCCCAGGCCTGAGTGCGGCAGTCCTACGGGACACCTTCCGTGCGAAGGGGACACCCTTTATTTTGGCTGACATGGGTTCCCGCAGGGAGGCTCCTACTGGCTCAGCTGTTCACACCACCATCGGCACAGACCTGCTGGCCCCTGAATGCCCAGTCCGAGCCCCCACCTCACAGCAGAAAGAGGCAGGGCAGTGGGGCCTGTCTAGCCTCACTCGTGCCCAGAACAGCTGGCCTTAGAGACGAGGGGACGGGCCTGCTGGAGACTCAGGACTCCCACCCTGTCAGCTCGGGTGCTGTTCTGAGGAATTTGGTGGGAGCCCCCTGCCCACCATAGAAACCGAAAAAGGGGCCCTCCTTCCCCGTGACAATGAGAGTGTGGCGGAAGTGTGGGCGGTCTCTCCCCAGGAGTAACAGCAGGCCACGGGGCAGAGGTAGAGCGGGTTCTTGGTGGACCCGCAGAGTCGAGGATACAGCTAGTGCGGGCTTCTAATGACAGATGGGGCATCCTGCTCAGACTCCTCTGGGGCCTGGCCTGTGTCCTCCACTCCCTCTCACTTCTGCCTCTTTCCCAGCCCAAATCTCCAGCTACTGAGTATCCTTCCAGCACATTCCATCTCTGCTTAAATTGCAGAGAATCAGTCCTACTATGCATAATCTGGAACCACGAGTAATAAACACATCGCGCATATATAAGGCAGGACTTTACAAACCTTCAGTGGTCCACCCCTGTCCTCGGGACAAGGTCAGGCTCCTTGTCCTGGCCCTCGGTGTGTGGGTGGCGTGCTGGGAGTTTATCCTGGGGCAAGGCCAGCACCACCCACACAACACCAGGCTTGTGTGAGGGTTGAGACCAGCCACTCTGTCCGGGACAGGCCAGAAGTAAAATGGGAGTCAGGAGGCGGAGAGACCAAGACCAGGGTGGGAAGGAGAGAAACAGAGACCACAAAGACCTATCTGGGCACGAGGGCTTGGGCACAGGGTCACCAGGGTGCAGTCTCAGGAGACTGGACAGTGGAGAGGAAGGGGATGAGGGGTTTGCATCTGAATGTGCTGGTGAGTTTGAAGACACCCAGGACAGGGCTGGGGGGTTGCGGTGGAATATGGATTCAGGGTACAGGACGATGATTTGGTAAAGACTCAGCTCTGGAGGTCGGTGTCAAGAGACTACAGTGGACGATGCCTGCCCTGAGAAGACAGCCCGGGGGTGCCTGGGGTGCCTCGGGGGGCTCAGTCGGTTGAGCGGTGGACTCCTGATTTCGGCTCAGGTCATGATCTCAGGGTGGTGAGATCCAGCCCCACCTGGAGCTCCCCGCTCTCTCTCTCTCCCTCCCCTCTGCCCCTCCTCCCCACAAATAAATCTTAAAAAAAAAAAGAGGACTTCCGCCGCCCGCGACAGAGGCCCCGGGCACAGGCGCCCAAGAGTGGGCAGGAGAAGCACGGTGGGACACGAAGGTGGTGGCCCCTGTCCAGTCCCCAGCGGACGACCACCGCGCGTTAAAGGCGTGAGGGAGAGGGACTCCCGGACAGGCCGCGCCCCTGGGAGGCGGCACCGGGCCAACCCCGCCCAGCCCTCGCCGGGAAAGCACGGAGCTGCTGCGGTCGGAGAGAAGGCCGGGGTTCAGCTCCACCTGCCCCGGGGAGGGCCTCGCGGCTCCGCGCGCACCCGCGCGCGCACACGCACACGCACGCACACCACGCGTGTCCCGGCCCGGGGCAGCCCCTTCCCGCCAGCCCGCCCGCAGTCCTGCCCATCCCCTCCGGCCCCGAGAGCAGAGCGGACGCGGGGCGCGCAGGCTCTCACCTGCGGGGGCCTCTGGGCGCTCGGCCGGCTGGCCGGTCTTCCTCGGCGACTGGCGGGTCTCTCTCGGCTTCCCTGGGGGAGGGGGAGGTCAGTGCAGTGGAGGCGTGGGCCCACCCCTTCCCATCACCCTCCGGAGGCGTTTATGCGCTGCGTGGACAGGTGCTGCTTGGCGGTTGAGGAGCGCGCACCCGGGCATGTCCTCCCCAGCAGTCCGGCGGCGCCCCCTGGGGTGCCGCGGGGGGTGGGGCGCCCCTGGCCCCGGGTCCTCAAGCCCTCGCTCTAACGAAGCCACGTGGGGCGAAGTCCCTGCCCCAGCCCTAACGCAGCCCGGCATCCCTGCTGCCCTTGTCCTGCGTGTCCTCCTGTGCCCCCCAGGTGGTGGCCTGCTGTCTACCTCCCCCTGAAGCTTCAGGGACAAGGGCTGAGTGGGAGGAGGAGGAGGGTGCTCCCAGCAGGGCTGTGCTAGGCAAACCAGTCAAGCCAGTGTGGCAGAGCTGGCTGGGATGGGGCCCTGGGCGTGGGTGTGAGTCAGCGGCCCCAGGCTGGGGAAACGCTGGGAAGGAGGCTGTCTGGGGCCTCCTCCCAACAGGAAGCCCAGGGGACGCCAGCACTCAGGCTGGCCCTGTACACCCCCACCCCCACCAAGGTCCCCCTGGGGGATACAAAGGCCTTTGTTTCTGGGGCAGGGCAGCTGGACCCCCAACCAGGAGGCATCAAGAGCCCCTGCCCCACCCTAGGGCAGGCTGGACTGTGCCTTGCTGCCCCATCTCAGTCCACAAAATGCCATCGGGACTTAGGCCCCGGCTCTTCCCCCAGCCCCCAGCAGGAGGCCACCAGGCTGGGCGAATAGTGTGTCACCTCCACAGAGCACCCCAGGCAAGCTTGGGCCCCCGGGGGACTCCTCTGAGCCTGCCGGCCTGGGGGCTCCCAGGCTAGTTGGGTTGGGCTTGTCTGTGGCCAGGGAGGGTCTCCTCTGGATGGTCAGTGTGACTGGGATGCAGCTCCTGGGCCCGTGGGCTGGTGGGTTGCCCTGGACCAGGGGCGGGGAAGGCGGTGCTGGGGCCCGCCCAGGGCAGGACCAGACTCGTTGCTACACCCAGCCGGGATCTGGTTGCCGAGAGCCACCTCCTCCAGTTTCTCAGTCTCCCTCCCAGTCTGGCCAACGAGGCCTGTGGTCTGTAAAGTCCTGCGCCCTGTGTCAGCACGTTAGTCAGCCCTCGAGCCTGGGTGAGCCACCACGCCGCCGAGTCCCTATAAACTCCCCAGCGTGGCCCAGCCCAACGAGTGGGGCCCGTGAGGCCCACAGGCACCAGCCAAGGGCCAGGGCAGGAGCAGAGGGCCCACTGTGGCCTCCCGGGGATGCCCGCTGCGCCCGCCTGATCACGGCTGGCCGGCGATGAGCCAGGGCCCCCAGGGAGCAGACTCCTGGTGAAAGGCGCCGGATCCGGGCCATGTCGGGGAAACGAAGTCGGGCTCGAAAACCCCGAGGCAGGAGGGCGGGCAAGGCACAGCAGGCCTCTGGGCAGCAGGGCCCTGAGGCCAAGCCCCCGCCCCCCGCCGCAGGGGGCCCTCAGGACAAGGTGGGGGTGGCCCCTGCGGAGCACGTGACCAGCAACAAGCCAGCTGCCCAGGGACACCCCAGGGTGGCCAACCCAGAGCGGCCACAAGCAGCCGAGCGGCCAGTGCAGGCCACTGCTCTGGGGTCCGAGCTGGTGTTAGTCCCCCCTGCGGACATGGAAGGCTGTGGGGCAGGGGCCCTCACACCGGGCCTGGGTCCCGAGCTGCTGAGGCTCCACAAGGTCCAGCTGTGCCTGGCCCAGGAGCAGCGGCTGCTGGAGGACTGGCGGCGGCAGGTCCAGCTGCACATGCAGCTGTGGCAGGAGGAGCAGCTGTGGAGGGAGCAGCTATGGCAGGAGGAGCAGCTGTGGCTGCAGCAGCTACAGGAGGAGCAGGCCTGGGTGCGCGTGGAGGGGCTGGAGCTGGCCATGGCGCTGGAGCAACTCCGGAGCGAGGGCCTTGAGGTGCTGCAGACCCAAGGCCAGGTAAGGGGGTGGGGGAGGTTCCGGACAGTCTGTGGGGGTGTGGTAGCCATGCAAACAACCTACAGATTCCTGCAGAGGACCGGGGTGCCAGAGGCCGGGATGGCTGTGGGATAACGGTGGGCCCTTTTCACACTCGCGAGGTGAGGTGTGCCCACCACACAGGGTGCTACAAAGACCATGTGAGAGCACGCCCTCCCAGGCTGGCCCAGTGTTTGGCAGGTAGAGGGTGCCCAGAAAGGACACTTGTTCAGGGAAACTGAGGCAGAGGTGTTCCTACAGGGGACCCAGGCATCCTGGCCAGGTGGGCCAGGGCAGGGAACTGCTGGAGCTGTCCAGGGCCGTGTTCGGGGTGCGCAGGGGGAGGGCTGCAGCAAGGCCCTAGGTGGGCAGTCAGCAGGTAGCAGAAGTGAGGAACATGCCCACCCTCCCCCCACCTCCAACAGGGCTTCCTGGCAGGCTTCCTGGCTGCCTGCCCTGCCTCCACTGTTTATTGCAGTCTGTGTTCCCAGGGCTTGAGATCACAGAAGAAGCATGCGGCCCTGAGCCCATCATCCTCATTCCAGAAAGGCTGCTTCCTCAGACGCCGCTGGGGCTATTTTTGGAAGCTAGGGTCTAACCCCGGCTTGGCATGGGAGAGTAGTCACCGTCACCCCAGCAGGGCGCGTGATTTGCGAGCTCTCTGTGGTCCAGGGACTTGGGTCAGCCCCCCTCCGAGCAGAGGGGCTGCAGCTGGGGAACAGGGTGGGTGCTCCATTAGCCAACACGGACCCCAGTGCAGGCCTGGATGCTGGAGGGACCCAGAACTGCAGGCTGGAAGGTGCTGACAGCTTCACAGAGAACTCATGGGTGCCACGACAGAGAAGAAATGGGACTGAGAAGGGAAGGACAATGGGTGGGGGTAGGAAGGAGAGAAGGGGCCCTTCCTGACCCACAACAGGACGGAACCAAGGGCAAGCTGTCACCATTCACTCTAGGAGTGGCTATGGAGAAGGTGGCCTGAGAGAGCAGCTGTAGGCAGGGAAAAGCAAGGGGATGGCCCAGGTGGAACGGAGGGTCAGAGTGGACCACACACTTAGCCTGAGAATCCCCAACATGCATTCTAAGTGAGCTGTCTCAGAACCTGTCTCCAGTCCACGTGGGCCTGCATTCCATCTCCGTGTTCTAACGCTGTGCGGCTCCCAATACTGCTCCCTGATCCCTCCCAGGGGTACAAGTCTCAGGGTCAGGGTCTGGAATGGACTTCTGAGCCCTGAATCCTCGGTCTACCATACCATGCCCAACTCAGAGATCCCTTGAAAGCCACGCTCAGAGGGAAGGGTCTTCTCAGAGCATCTCTGGCAGCTGCAGCGAGGGGCTCACAAGTCAGTGGTGGAGTGGAGGTGCTCTGGAGGTCAGACTCACTTACCAGCAACAGCTCTCGGCTGGGCTCCAGGGAGGAATGGCTGCCACTTCCCTGATGCAGCTTTGGGCACCCCCTTCTTGCTGCTCATTTTCCTGGGGGGAGGTGGGAAAAGTCCAGGAGTGTGTGCTTAGAGTGGCCTGTGTGGACAGACAGCCTCATGTCCCCCCCCACCCCCCACCCCAGCTTCCTGCCGGCTTCCAGGCCCACCTGCCTGCCCTGCTTTTCGGCCCGAGCGTGCCCAGCAGCTTCTGGCAGAATGCTTGCAAGGACCTCTGGCCACAGCTCATCCCCCTTGCCCTTGCTCACCTGCCTCTTCCACTCCCTGGTTCATCCATCCTTTGGTCCCAGGCCCTGACCGTAACCTCCAGGGCTGGGTGTCTCGTACCTGTGTCCCTGCTCTGAACCGCTGGGCTGCCGCTGAACAAGCTTCACTCTAATGCATAGCGCCACCTGCTCTGCTGAAGTCGACATGCTTCCCCACTGCCCGCAACCCACCCAAAACACCAACACTTCTGTGCCCCCAACCCTCTCATGTTGTTGTCAGGGGCTGGAAGCAATGCCTTTCTCCCTAGCCCAGGCAGCTGACCCCAGAGTTTCTTTCCCCTGGGAGGCCTCCCTTGGCCCAGGTTGGGTTGGGTCCCCTTGCTGCCCCCCCTGCGCAGGTATGGCACGGCAGTCTTGCCTGGGCACTGGTGTGAGACACCCTGTGTCTGCATGCCCACCACCTTCTGCTGGTGGGCTGTCTCACAGTGCTTGGGGAGGGAATTAATGAAACTGAGAGCAACCCTGGAAACCCAGAAGATGGGATCATGCGTCAAGAGGGACGAGGAGGAAGGTGACCAGAAAGTGGCAGGAAGAGGATTATTCCGGCATGGATTGGAGAGGGAGAAGCTTTGGCAGGGGACTTGGCTTGGACACATGGTTGACCGCAGGGCAGGCCCTAAATGGGATCCAATGGGGAACTGGGTTTCTGAGCAAGGATCTGAAGTGTTTGGGGGGACTGAGGACTTCTTGAGGGGGGTGAGTGTGTGCTTACGGGGTCCCCTGTCCACGTGGAGCAATGCTAGCAGGGTACCTGCTGAGTGAAGGACTCTCAGTGTTCGTATGCGGTCCCGTACATGGGCATGGTTCTGTGGGGGAGGATCCTGGTGCTTGTGGAATCGTGTGCCGGGGGATCAGTGAATGTGGGCTTCCCATGTGCATGCGGGGTCTCCTATGTGCGTGGACGTCGGTGTGCGCCTGGATGATAGGCGTGTGGAGTTGGTGTGCACATAGGGTCCCTTAAGTATGCAGGGATCCCTGTGGTGCCTGTGGGGTCCTATGTGCACGGGGGTCAGCACGGGTGTGTGCAGGGTCCTCTATAAGTGGAGGCGTTGGTGTGTAAGGAGGTAAGTGCATGTGGCATCCCTTGTGTGTGCGGGTCCTGATGTGCCTGTAGAGTCCTCGTGGGAGTGCATGTAGGGTTCAGTCTACCGGGGGGGGGGGGGGGGGGGGGAATTGGCCTGGGAGGGGACTGGTGTGTGGGAAGGTCCCCTGTGCGTAGGTGTGGGGGGGGGTCTATGAGCGCAGTGTCTCTGTGTGCCAGTGGGGTCCCAGGTGCTTGTGAGCATTGCGCGCGGAGAGTGGGGGGCCCCCTGTGAGGGCGTCGGGTTAGGGGGTGCCCCGGTGGCGGGGGATCCCCGGTGCTCGCGGGGTCCTCAAGCCAGGGCCCGCTACTAGCTCGGCGCCGCCCCTGCGGCCTCACCTGCCTCACCTGCCTCCCCCAACTCGCAGGCCGGGCGAGAAGCCCCGCCCCCTACGTCGGGCTGGCCGGTTTCTTAGCGACTGAGCCGGAACTTCCGAGTCACCGCGACTTCCGGGGCGAGGGTCAGGGGTCAGGCATAGGGGCCTAGAGCTTCGGCGAACGGATGGGCGCCGGGGGCGGCGGGCCCCGGGAGGCGGGGCCTCGGCGGCGGCGGCGGCGCCGGGGCAGCCGGGGCCGGGGGGCGCGGCGGGGGCCGGGGGCCGCGGGGGCGCGGGCGGCGGCGGGCGGCGGAATGCGGGCGCGCCGCGGGTGGGGCCGCCCCGCCCCCAGGTGCTGCCCGGGCAGGCCGGCGGCGGGAGCGGCGGGCGGGGCGGGGGCGGGCGCGTGAATCAGGCCGCGCGGCGGGCGGGCCGCGACAGGGAGTGGCTGCCGGACCGACCGGACCGCGAGGCCGCTGGGCGGCGGTCGGCTCCTGCTGCCCTTGTCCCGAGACCCCGCGCACCTGGCCAGGTAGGGCCCCCTCCCCCGGCTCGAGCGGGGCGGGGCGCGCCGGACGGGAGGCCGCGGCCGGGCCCCCGGGGGGGCGGGGGCGGCGCGCGCGGCGCCCCTCCGCGCGGCCTCACCTGGGCGGCGCTCCCACCCGCACCTGGGCCCGGGCCGCGCGGCGGGGCGCCGGGCGGTGGGAGCGCGGGGCCGCGCCGGGCCGGGCCGGGGGGGGGAGGTCTCCTGGGCCGCGTGTACCGGCGTGGCCGCGAGCGCCCTCGCACGACGCCGGCCCGGCAAGAGCGGAGTGGGAAGGGGCCCCGGGCCCCGGGGCGAGCCTGCCCGGGCCGTCCTTACTCGCTCCCGCCCTCGCGGCCTAGCTGGAGCCTGGGGAGGGTGCTGGGCCTGGCCTGGACCCCTCCCTGAGGGGCCCCGCCCTGGGCTCCCTGGACCGGGGGTGGCAGGGGAGGCCGAGGCGCAGTCTGGTGTCCTGCGTGAAGTGCCGGGAGAGCGGAAGGCCCCGGTACCCTCGCGCCCAAGTCACCGACCTGGGGCGGGTGGATGGGACACCGGGCCCAGGCAGCCGCGAGTTCCTTGGGCGCACTAAGCCCTTCTGGCCCTGCGGGGCACCCCCCGAAGACTACAACTCACCAGCTTCAGTCTGTGCGTCCCAGCTGGCCGAATCCCACCCCCCAACCTCGTCCCCGTGGCCCGAGGCTGGCAAAGGCTTCTGCGGGGAACCCGTGCTCCCACCTGTACTCAGCGCACGGCTCGTCGCCTTGTGCTCCTTCCAGTCGCTTGGAAAACCCACCTCCTACCCAGGTGGGAAGTCCCTCGTTAGGGGCCCACTAGAGCCCTGAGGGCCCTGAGGATGTGTCCGCCTTGTGTCAGGGGTCAGAGGTCAGCAGCAAAGGAGCAGATTCCTGCTGAGTCATCGGCCTGGGTGGGATAAGTGCCTCTCCCTCCCTCAGGACAGGCGTTCAGTGGGCAGATGTGTGAGGAGCCACACTGTTGGGGCCCTGTCGGGGGCTGGAGAGTGGCCTCTGCCCAGTTCACAGTTCAGGGGTGTGCAAGGTGAAAGGAGGGAAGTCAGTGGGGTCACGGTATTACTGTGTGAGGCCATGCAGGGCCCCCTGGTGTGGGCACTCAGGATAGGCACCCCGTTGCTGATGAGTCCTGTCTGCTGCGGGGGCCCTGGGCACCGTGGCACCCGCCCCCCCCCCCCCCAGCTGCTGCCAGCCTGGACCGTTTCTGTTGATTCCCCTTCTCAGTGAAGTGCAGGGGACTTCAGGGGTCCCCAGCTTGGGAAGTGCTCCTTCTCAAATATAGTGAGCAGCATGTGCCCCCAAGCCCTGCCTGGTCTGACACTGGCCCCATACAGCCACATTCCAGGGTCTTCCCCGCCCCCCCCCACCCTCTGTTGGATACTGTGGGAGACCCCGCTACAGACAGACCTGCACCTTGTGCCCCAGTGGAGTCTGCCTCAGAACAGTATGGGTATCGTGTGTAACCACGGAGGGTGGTGCCCTCAGGAAGGAACGGCAGAACAGCTTTCCTGCAGACCCTCTCCCAGGTATCATCTCCCACCCCCACGGCACGTCCAGTCTGCCTGTCACCCCCCAGGAGAGCAGACAGGAGAGGTCCCTCGGGTCGTCATACACAACAGTCTTGACCCTGACATTCTCCAGTGCCCAGCTGCCTCCGACCACCCAGTGACCCTGGCCAGTCAGCAGCAACCAGCTGCCCCTGTGGACTAGGGCACACTGTGCAGTCTGGCAAGACCAGCATCCAGGAACCTGAGGGCTAGGTGGGATCCGAATCCAGCTCTGTCCCAGCCCCAAGCAGCGGCTGGGGTGGGGTGGGCGTGCCTGGGGCTCTCCTTCCAGGGTAGGAGGAGGACAGGTATCTAGGCAGTTCAGGGATTGGATTGATGCCCCCTGGGGATCCAAAAGAGGCCCCCATGTGGCCTTCCAGAGCTAAAGGCAGCTTCTCCCAGCCTAGGCTCCCTCCAGGCCCTTGGGAGGCAGGTGGACTGGAGTGGACCAGGCGGGGCTTAGGTGTCAGCATGAAGTTGGGACAAGGGGAGAGGCACATCTGGAGCCCAGGATGAGCCTGATGGCCACAGCCCAGGGCTCAGGCTTCATCCAGAGCACAGCGGGGAGCAGGGCATGGCCAGAGACAGAAGACCGCCACTGGCATGCAGGGCTGGGCTTAGCTATGCAGGACTCTAAGCTTGTGGAGAGCCAGGAGGCTGCTGCCCGGATCTGCCAGGGGGTGTGGCTCAGGGGTTTTTATCTAAGGTGGGACAGTGGCTAGAAAGGTGGATGGGTCAAAGGGAAGGGAGTGGTCCTGGTGGACAGGGACAAAGGGCAGGGGTCAGAGTTTGGATGGCTGTGCAGTCTGCGAATAGGTTGGGGCTCAGAGTGTGTGACCCCATAGGACAGGTGCTGAGGCCTGGGACAAAAGTGACAAGTTTTGTGGGCTGAGCTCACATTGGGCCAGGCACGGGAGCAGGTCAGCCCAGGCAGCTGCATTTTACAGTGCAGGTAATGAGCCAGAGAGGCCCAGCGAGTGGCCCTGGGCCCCCCCTCGCCCCCCTGTACTGCGGACAGAGACACACAGGTGGGGGGCCACCTGACTTGTTCAGTACACGATTTCGTTCAGGGCCCACGAAAATGCATTAATGCCCAAATCAGAAGAAAAAAGCCAATATAATAAAGAATCCAGCCTGGATTATATTTTCTTTATGCCAACAATCATAAAATACTGGTTTTCTTTTTATGGAGGAAGGGGCCCACAAAGAAGTACCTGGGTCACAGGAGCCATAAAGGAACCCTGAGTGGGGGCTTCGTGCAGCCAGAGCCCCTGCCTGGAAACCAGGGTGCAGGCGCTCCTGAGGTCCCGGGAAGAGGAAGGGCCCCACCAGCACGGAGCAACATGAGACAGGGCCGGGGCACCCTCCCGGCACCCCGCCAGCCAGGGGCATCCTGGGACCCGCTCAGGGTCACAGACAGCCCTTGCTACAGCGCGTGTCTGCACATGGTGGGTGGCGGGGAGCGGGCCCAGTGCCGCTGCCCCAGGAATGTGTCTCCCTGCCCCTCCCCAGGCCCCTGGCCCCGACATGGCCCGTCGCTCCCAGAGCTCCTCGCAGGGGGACAACCCGCTGGCACCTGGGTACCTGCCACCTCACTACAAAGAGTACTACCGCCTGGCAGTGGATGCCCTGGCTGAGGGAGGGCCAGAGGCCTACAGCCGCTTCCTGGCGTCTGAGGGGGCACCTGCCTTCCTGTGCCCTGAGGAGCTGGAGCACGTGAGCCGCCACCTGCGGCCCCCACAGCATGTTGCTCGCGAGCCCCCCGAAGGCAGCCCTCCCAATGTGGACATGGATGGCTCCTCAGGCACCTACTGGCCCATGAACTCCGACCAGGCGGTGCCTGAGCTTGACCTGGGCTGGCCCCTGACCTTCGGCTTCCAGGGCACTGAAGTCACGACCCTGGTACAGCCACCGCCGCCTGACAGCCCCAGCATCAAGGATGAGGCTCGAAGGATGATCCGCTCTGCCCAGCAGGTGTGCCGTCATGGGCTGGGTGGGCAGTGGGGGCAGGGCCCGAGCCAGACCTCGGAGCCTGAGTGGAGTATGCAGGTGAAGAAAAATACCAGCGTTTCCGGCTTAGGGGCAAGGGTGAGGCCGGAGCCGACTGGCCACGCCTCTCCAGCCTTCAAGCTGCGGCACAGGCCCCCTGGCAGCCAGCTTTGGGGGTCACGAAGTGTTTGGTTATTGCAGGCTGCAGGGGGCCTGCTGCAGTTTTGCTTGCCCTTGGTCATGGCCAGTGCCCAGAAACTCAAGGGCCCTGGGATGCTAGGCCCCTTCCTGGTCTGGATTTACGGTTCAGAGAATTCTCTAGTCGAACCTTTGACCCAGGCTTGACCCCACCAAACAGGTGGCAAACAGCAAAGAGAGCCAGACATGGAAGCTGAGGCGGCAGATCCAGAAGCTAGAGACCCCCAGCTGCCCTGTGCACCCTCTACAGCAGTCTCCTCCCAGGGGCAGAGCTAGGGCCTGGGCTTGGCCATCGAGGGCAGGGCAGTGTGAGGTGCCTTTCAGGGGCCTCATTTGCCTTGTCCCTTCCCCAACAGGAGGTAGGCCCTGTGCCTGCCTAGGGCTCCATCATGGGCCACGCACCCACCAGCAGCCCCACACCCCCTCTGGTAGGCCTTTTCCTCCTGACTCCCCTTCCCTGGCAGGGCCCCGCTCTCCCATGGGATGGGCTAGAGGGCGATTTGCAGTGTTCATGGGTGATCCTGAGGCCTTGCCCGGGCCAGGCAGGAATGGCTAGAGAATAGTGGGGACAGCACAGGGGTCTGTCCCCTGTCCCTAACCTGCCCCCCGCAGGTGGTGGCCGTGGTGATGGACATGTTCACCGACGTGGACCTGCTTGGTGAAGTGCTGGAGGCAGCGGCTCGCCGTGTCCCGGTCTACATCCTCTTGGATGAGATGAATGCGCAGCACTTCCTAGACATGGCCGACAAGTGCCGCGTCAACCTGCACCACGTGGATGTGAGTGACCCAGGGGGTGTGTAGGGAGGTGGAAGACTCCCCTGCGGAGACCTAATGCCTCTCCCCCCCCCCCGCCCCCGCCAGTTCCTGCGCGTGCGCACTGTGGCAGGCCCCACCTACTACTGCCGCACTGGGAAGTCCTTCAAGGGCCACGTGAAGGAGAAGTTCCTGCTAGTGGACTGTGCCGTGGTTATGAGTGGGAGCTACAGGTGCGCCCAGCCCGCAATCCTGACACCTCCCCACCTAAGGGCCCCCGCCCGACACCTCCCCACCTAAGGACCTCGCCTGCCCAAGCCCTAGTACAGTAGCCCCTGACACAGCACCCCCCCCCACCCCACCCCCGGTCCTTGCAGACTTGACACTTCAGAACCACAGGTGGCCTTGCGCGGTCCCCTCCTCCGGCGCTGGCTCCGCCCCTCTCCTTGACTCTGATCTTGACCCCGCCCCACCCGCAGCTTCATGTGGTCCTTCGAGAAGATCCACCGAAGCCTGGCGCACGTGTTCCAGGGCGAGCTGGTCTCCAGCTTCGATGAGGAGTTCCGCATCCTGTTCGCGCAGTCCGAGCCTCTGGTGCCCTCAGCCGGGGCACTGGCCCGCATGGATGCTTACGCCCTGGCTCCATACGCGGGAGCCGGGCCCCTTATGGGCGGCCAGGTGACCGGCGCGCCGACCCCTTTCTCCTTCCCCAAACGGGCGCACCTCCTGTTCCCACCGCCTCGGGAAGAGGGCCTGGGTTTCCCCTCCTTCCTCGACCCCGACCGCCACTTCTTGTCTGCTTTCCGCCGGGAGGAGCCAGCGCGGATGCCCGCGGGAGCCCTGGAGCCGCACGCGGGACTGCGGCCGCTATCGCGGCGGCTGGACGCGGAGGCAGGACTAGGGGGAGAGCTCGCGGGCCCGCGCGGCTTCTTTCAGGCCCGGCATCTGGAGATGGACACCCTAAAGCGGCACAGCTACGCGGCCGCCGACGGCACCGGCGCGGTGGAGAACTTCGCGGCTGCGCGGCAGGTGTCACGGCAGACGTTCCTCAGCCACGGCGACGACTTCCGCTTCCAGACCAGTCACTTCCACCGTGACCAGCTCTACCAGCAGCATTACCAGTGGGACCCGCAGCTGGCGCCGGCGCGGCCGCAGGGCCTGTTTGAGAAGCTGCGCGCTGGCCGCCCCGGCTTCGCCGAGCACGACGACTTCGCGCTGGGGCCCGGGCCGCGCTTCCCCGAGCTCGGCCCCGACGGACACCAGCGGCTGGACTACGTGCCGTCCAGCGCGTCGCGCGAGGTGCGCCACGGCTCAGACCCCGCCTCGGGGCCCGGGCCCCGCGGCCTGGAACCCAGCGGAGCCCCACGCCCCAACCTGGGCCAGCGCTTCCCGTGCCAGGCAGTGGCAAGGCAGGGCCCAGACGCCGCGCCCGACGCAGAGCAGGAGCGCAGGGGCGGGCCCGAGGGGCGGGCGGGGCTGCGGCACTGGCGCTTGGCGTCCTACCTGAGCGGTTGCCATGGCGAGGACGCGGGCGAGGAGGGCCTGCCGGCACCCTTGGAGGCTGAGGCCTATGAAGACGACGTTCTGGTGTCCGGCGGCCGAATGGCCCCCGGGGACCTGCTCCCCTTAGCCTCCCGTGCGCCCTACCCGGCCAAGGGCCTGGTGCCCTGCTCCGGCGGCGGTGGTGGCGACAGCCCAGAGCGCGAGGGCCTGGAGGAGGCAGGTCTGGCCAGGCAGGACTCCTTCCGCTCGCGCTTGAACCCGCTGATCCAGCGCAGCTCGCGCCTGCGCTCCTCCCTGATCTTCAGCGCTTCGCAGGCCGAGGGCGCCGGTGGGGCCCTGGCGGCCACTACCGAGAAGACGCAGCTGCTGCACAAGGAGCAGGCGGTCAGCGAGATGCTGGGCCCCGGCGGCGAGGCCATGCGCTCCGCCACTTCCACCAAGGTGGCCGAGCTCCTGGAGAAATACAAGGGCCCGGCGCGTGATGCCGGAGGGGCGGGGGCCCCAGTCACAGTCGCCAGCCATAGCAAGGCTGTTGTGTCCCAGGCGTGGCGGGAGGAGGCGGTGGCGCCGGGTGGGGCGGGGAGCGAGCGCCGCAGCCTCGAGAGTTGCCTGCTGGACCTGCGCGACTCCTTCGCACAGCGGCTGCACCAGGAGGCTGAGAGGCAGCCGGGAGCAGCCACGCTTACTGCCACCCAGCTGCTAGACACGCTGGGCCGGAGCGGCACCGACCGGCTGCCCTCTCGCTTTCTCTCTGCCCAGGGCCGCTCCGCCTCCCCACAAGGGCGGGTCAGCCCCCCGCTGGAGGGGCCTGGGCCGCGCCAGGCACCTCACCCTGAGCCGAGAGGGAGCCCCACCTCGGCCTATCCCGAGCGCAGGGGCAGCCCGGTCCCCGCTGTGCCAGAGCGCAGGGGCAGCCCGGTCCCCGCTGTGCCAGAGCGCAGGGGCAGCCCGGTCCCTCCTGTGCCGGAGCGCAGGGGCAGCCCGGTCCCCCCTGTGCCGGAGCGCAGGGGCAGCCTCACCCTTCCCTTCTCCGAGGAGTCTCCCAAGACGGGGGCCGCGGAGGAGACGGCTGGCGGCCCCATGGAAGTCTTGCGCAAGGGCTCCCTGCGCCTCCGCCAGCTGCTGAGCCCCAAGGCTGAGCGGCGCACGGAGGAAGAGGGCGGCTTCCCAGCGCCGCAGGAGAACGGGCAGCCCGAGAGCCCCCGGCGGCCGTCGCTGGGCAGGGCTGAGAGCACTGAGGCTGCCATTGGAGACGAGCGGGGCCCGCGGGCGCGCATGGGCTCCACCACGGCCAACGCCTTGTACAGCAGCAACCTGCGGGACGACACGAAAGCCATTCTGGAGCAGATCAGCGCCCACGGCCAGAAGCACCGCGGGGTCCCCGCCCCGGCCCCGGGCCTGGCTCACAGCAGTCCTGAGCTAGGCCGCTCACCAGCTGCTGGCGGCCTGGCCCCTGACATGTCCGACAAGGACAAATGCTCTGCCATCTTCCGTTCGGACAGCTTGGGGACCCAGGGAAGGCTGAGCCGCACCCTGCCTGCCAGCGCCGAGGACCGCGACCGGCTGCTGCTCCGCATGGAGAGCATGCGCAAGGAGAAGCGCGTCTACAGCCGGTTTGAGGTCTTCTGCAAAAAGGAAGAGGCCGGAGGCCCGGGGGCAGGGGAGGGCACAGCAGAGGACGACACCAGGGACAGCAAAGTGGGCAAGTTCATGCCCAGGATCCTGGGTACTTTCAAAAGGAAGTGAGCCTCCTGGCCCCCCAGCCCCGGACCAGGCGCCCCCTCGCTGCCACCCACCAGGCAGGGCACCTGGCTCTCCTCCCCTCAAGGCGGCGTGGAAGCGGCTGAGTACCGCCAGAGCTTGGCTGCGCCTGGAGCTCACCCAGTAGCTGGCCTGCCTTTTGCCCTGGCCGCTCCCCGCTGGGGCGCGAGCCCCTCACTGCCCCTCCTCCAGCTCCATCTGTGCCCCTGGGCCCTGAGCCTCCCATTCCTGCGCATCTGCCTCCACCATCTCTCTGGGCTTCAGGTCCCCTTTAGACCTTCATTCACCTCAGGGCCCCGTCTTTTTGTGCCTTACGCCCCCACCTTGGGGGGGGCCCATCTCTTTGTGCCTCAGTCCCCCATCTTTGGGGGCTCCACGTCTCAGGGCTTCCATGTCTCAGGGTTCGCCTCTGCTCACTGCCTCCTGGCTCTACGGCTTCCTCACAGCTGCCTCTTGCCCGCCTCCTGGCAGCCCCAGCCTCTCCCCTGGCCGGCCGGGGTCTCTCCCTCCACCCCTGGTGGCTCAGTCTTCACTTCCTGCCCTGCTTGCGTTCCTCCTCACTGCCTCCCTCTCTGCGTCCTGGCAGCCTTTTCAGTGGCCCACCCTGGGGAGGCAGAGCTGGCTGACTGTCCTGCCAGGAGAACGGAGACCGACCCAGCCTCTCTTCCTGCAGGGCTGCAGCCAGCACCCCAGACCCCTACTAGGGGTGAGAGCACTGGGGGCGCAGCACCATAAAGCCAGGTCTCCATGCATGCTGGGCCTCGGCCCTGCCCTGGAACGCTTGTCCTCGAACAGCTGAGGGCAGGGCTTCGGTGTGGCAATGCCTGAGCCCCAGCCCATTGCTCCAAGGGTCCTGGTCCTTCGGGTGCGCAGCAGACCCCGACTGCAACCTGGTCTGGATCCTTCCCTCTTTGTCACCAACCTGCAAAGTCAAAGCTTCCCCACTTACCTTTCCTGTATCTTTTTCATCTCTGGAGAGTGACTTTGATTTGGAATAACACATTTTAACACCAAACGCTTAGGAAGTCCCCCACTGTAAGTGCTCGCATTGTGAAGTTAGTATTTCTGCAACCCTTTTTTTTAAGAATAAGAAATCGAAATCACGCAGACTGGGAAAGGATTTAAGGAACAAGGCCACTGAGCAAAGGCAGCACTTCTGACTCCAGACAGCTGGAGAAGGGAGGGCGGGGAGGCTGGGGGATACTTTGGTTCAGGTGGAAAAGGTCACTGAGGAGCCAGATGCGCTGGAGTGTTTTTTGGCCTTGATGTGCTTGCTGACCTGTTTGCTCTCGCGTGCTTGGCGCGGCCCGTTGCTAAGGGGGAGCCCATGCAGCCTCCTGTCTGCATCCTCCACGTTGTGCTGAATAACACAACTCAAATGTGATTCTGCACATTTTGGTGTTAATAAAACACAACAAAATATTCCAACACATTCCTAAATACATATATTAATCACCCAGTTAGTATATTGCAAATGTTAAGTCTTGGGAACTCATATTTCCCTCTGGACAGCACCACCCATCTCTGTGGGACCCACTAAAGACTCCCCCCCCCATCTGTACTGCCAACACCTGCAGCCACATCTAACCCTGGAGACTCCACCTCACCTTCCCATGACCTGCTCCCCTTCACAGGCAAATGCTTTCATCCACTACTCCCACTCTTCAATTCCACCAGCCCTCTGCCTAGGCACACCCCACTAGCACTCCCCTGGGGGCTCCTGATCACCAAGCCCAGCAGACACTTCCCAGCCTCCTCGCCCCCAGACACCAGTGCCCAGGTGTCCGGATCCCTCAGCCCCTCCAGCCGCCCCGTGTTTGCAGGCCTGGGCTTCCTGGGGCCCCACCTGCTCTTCTCTGCCCTGTGGCATTCCTTCCCACTGCCTCATCTGTCCCCCTCGTCCATCACCTGGGGGCTATGCCTCAGGCCCTAAGAACTCAACCGACTACCCCCTGGGCAGCCTGGTCTCCTGACTGGCTCACCTCCCGGCCAGAACTGGGGCATTTACTCTTGCCTCCTTTCTGGGCCTCCTCCCAAGTCCTCTTGAGCTTTCTCCACCTCGTCTGGGCCTGCCCTCTGCCCAGCTCTCCCTGCCCTTCCCACCTGTGGCTCTCCTAGCAGCCAGCAGCTTTTACAGGTGACAGAGGTCCTGCTCCTGGCAGCCCAGCCCCCAACACAGCACAGGCCGCATCCTTTAGACTGTGGGCTCCAACCGGGCAGTTGGGAAGTGGCCTGTGTGTTCCAGCCCCTGCCCGGGGCCAGGTGTGGTGCAAGGCACACCCGGAACCGTGAGGCAGATGCCCACGGGGCCCCTTGGACCTCTTCAGCTCCCACCCCCCGGACCCACCCCTGCCAGGACAGGCCGGCTGCCAGTCACTGTTGGTGGCCCAGAGCACAACGGTCAGTCAGGGGCTGTACCCTGGGGCACTGCCCTGTCCTCCCGTCCACGGCCACTCTCGCTCAGGGTCACAAATGCCCTCAGGTGATGGCTTGCACTGAGGCAACAAGTGCAAGTCTCTGCCCCGCCCCCCGAGCACCCTGGGGTAGCCTTGTCCCTCTGATAGTGTTCTGGCACCAGGCAGGCCCCAGAGCATTTGTGGAGAGAGGAGGGGAAGCTGGCCCCGAGGAGCCCTCCAGGCCAGTCACTGGCGCTGTGAGCCTCCAGGGAGAGCAGTGGGCACAGGGCAGACAGGGGCCACCCAGGGACCACCCAGGGACAGCAGGTGTCCTTGCAGCTTCTCCTGGGCTCTGTACTAGACATGGGGGTCCTCCGAAGGGGGTGGACTCCAGGCAAGGGGTGGTGTGGCCTCAGAGGGAGTCCCTCACTGAGACTAGAAGATAGGCAGGTAGGCTGGGTGGGGCTGGGCAAGACTTTATTGGAGGAAGTGATTGGGGATGGGTGGGAACCTCATCTACTCCCCCAGAGGGGACAGGCTCCCTGGATCTCAAGAATATGGCCAGGCAAAAGGGCGAGCGGGTAAGAGGGGGTGGAGAGCATGGGGTACTTGGGGGCAAATCCGGGGCTGGGAGAGGGGCGGGGGACTGGGCGAAGGGCCGCGGCTGAGCAGAAGAGCTGGATTGAAGGCTGGTAGGGCACCTTAGGCGCGTGGCCCGGGAAGCAGGGGCAGGCGGTCCAGCGCCGAGTGGCAGACGGTACCGTAGGCCTGTGAGTAGCCCCCGAGCGCAGCCCTTGCAGCACCCTGGGCTCCCTGCGAGGCCGAGGCGCTGAACATCCTCCGGCCCGGCCGAGGCTCGGGCCGGGCATCCGCGGGAAGCCCGCGAGGGACCTGCACGGTCAAGGGGTCGCATAAGGGGCGGGACCAGAGGGAGGAGAGGGCACTGACCCCGGTGAACCCAGCGGCCGAGGGGGCAGGAAGGACGGCAAGGGAGCGGAGGGCCGGGGATCCGGGCGAGCTCACCCGTCGCGCGCCGGTTGCCCTCACCCCACGGCCTGGATTCCAGTCGCTCCGGATTAGGGCCTGGATGGCCACCTGGGCGGCGGCCTGCGAGGCCAGGGAGGACGCCGCCCCCTTCCCGCTGGGTTTCACCTGGGAAGAGGCGTGTCACGGGGTCACTGCAGGGGCCCTCGGAAAGGAGCGAGAGAGACCCTCCCGGGCTGACCTACCCACGAGGGTGCCGAGGGGGCCTCCGCCGTCGCCCCAGGGGGCCTCTCCCCTCTCCCCAGACCTCCTGGGGGTGGAGGCTGGAGCACGGGGGCAGAGTTCCGCCGCGGAAGATTCTTGGCTCCGCAGGCAATGTCTGTGGGGTCTGAAGATCAAGCCTCAGGGTTAGTCCGGTGCGGCGGACGCTTGGTGGCTCCACCCAGAAGGGGCAGGGGCAGGGGCCGTGCTCCGTGCGGGGCGGCCATCCGAGATCACACACCGTGCGCGGACTGGTGGCCCAGGCTGCTTTGAGGTCTGCGTCCAGCGTTCTGCGTGGGCGAGCCCGGGGGCAGCTGAGGGACGGCTCTGGGGTTGAGCAGGTGCGCCTGGGGTTGGGGGGCACCAGGCTCTGCCCCCGCGGGTGTGCCCCCCAGGCCCTTCTCTCTGGGGATGCGGCTGTTGCCCCTGCGCTCCAGGATCATCTGCGGGAAGGGAGGGGCGCTCAGAGGTGCACGGCGCGGGTGTAGAGGGCTCTGGGGGTCGCTGAGGCAGGGGAAAGCCTCGAGGTGGGCGTGGATGGGGGACGGTGGTGGTCGCGGCCAGAGCACCTGATAGACCCGGCTGCGATACTCGGGGGCTGAGAGCTGAACTCCTTCGAGCACCGGGAGCTGCACAGCCGAATCCAGTGTCCACTCACGAGCCGGGCAGTGGAACCTGCGGGGAGCCAGCGAGGCGGGTGTGGGAGAAGCGAGACTCGCGCTGCCGTCAGGCAGGCCTCTCCGACCGAGCCCAGATCCGCCACCCAACACCCAGCCCCAGCCAGGGAGGAGTTGGTCGGGATGCCGCCCTCTCCCCCACCCTACCTCTGCACGTAGGGGTGCTGCAGTGCCTGGGCTGCGCTAAGCCGCTTCTCCGGGGCAAATACCAGGAGTCCCCTGAGGAGATCCAAGGCCTCCGGGGGTGTGTCTGGCGGCAGGAGGGTGTCCAGCGTCTGCCGTGGCCTGCGGGCGCCCGCGTGTTGTCCCCTCTCCATGTCGGCGCCCCTCCCCACATCCGTATCGTGGCAGCTCTGCTTCCGACCCTGACCCTCCACCCAGCACCACTTAACTGTCCCAGTGCATCTTCCCCTCCCCATGCAACACCCTCAGGCAGCCTGGGAGGGCGGCGAGACCCCTCCCTGCCTTGCCCTCCGGTCCCTTCCTCTGCGTGCCCTGCTCCGTTCCTGTGGGCCTCCCCATGCCTCAGGCCGTGCTGGGTGACGCTGGGGATTCCTCATTTTTAGCGTAACCAAACTGCTGGGTTGGGGACTGCCATGGGAAGACCAGGGCCCAGATCTGGGCTGACAGACTGGCCAGCAAGTTGACCAGAAGTGTGCCAGAGCCAAGCTCCTAAGCAGCCCCACTCACCGGGACCCCAGGCAGGGCAGGATAGAGGCACTGTAGCTTGAGCCAAGAGCCAGGAGGTCTGCAGGTGGGTGGACAGGAGGTGTGTCATGGGGAGGGCCTGGTCCAGCTGGGCAGCCCAGGGAGGTCTGGGGCCAGTTGTCTCCTCCTGCGCTGTGGAGTGCCTGTCTCTCTGCAGGGCTTGGGCTGCCTGGCGGGACCGGAGCTTGAATACCTGGATTCATGCTGTGTGCGCACCTACGTGCTCTTGCACGCGTGCCTGCCCTCGCACACTCCTGCTCCCACTCCTGCACACGCACTCCAGTCTGGGCATTCCCACCTCCATGGAAGAGCTCCCCAACTTCCACCTGGGGAAGACAATAGGGCTCCCCCCACCGGATCCTCCCCCCCACTCCCTCCCCCAAGTAAGAGGAAGGACTCCCTAGACTACCTACCCCCACGCCTCTTCCCCCGACCTCTGCTGCCCCACTCCAGCACAGCTGCCGGACCTGCTCCCACCAGCCTCCGCTCTTGTTCTGACCCAGCTGGACCCTTCATGGGCACTGCTTGGCCCTCGAGGACCCCTAGCTTCTCCCTGGGCCTAGCATGCATAGGGCCTGCCCTTTCTTGTCTTCTGAGGCTCTGGACCCTTCCCGTCCCCCTCGTCCCCAGCCTCCTCCCCACCAGTCCTGGCTGGTACCGTGCTGTCCCCCCACAGCTGTGTGTGCTGACCCTCAGACTCCCTGATGCCCAGCAGGCCCCCTGCACACACTCACCCTCCTTGGATGGTGGTGGGATGGTCTCCAGGATCAGCTCCAGCTGGTGCAGTGTGGATGTGCCAGGGAACAGGGGCCTCCCCCGAAGCATCTCCCCCAGGATGCAGCCCAGACTCCACATGTCCACCCCAGGGGTGTACCTGGGGCAGGAAGGGGTGGAGGCACGGGGGGACCCTGGAGGCAGAGGTGGAGGGAGGAGGGGAGACATTCAAAGGGGCGGGGTCTGGAGTGCTGGGAGGGAGTCAGTGAGGATGCATGTCGGGCACAAGAAGGCTGGGCAAGAGGATATGGGGGGTGCTGCAGGGGAAGGTGAAGGTAGGATTGCAGAGGTGGGTGGGGGGAATGATGCTCTTACCAGCTCGAGGACAGCAGCACCTCGGGAGCCCGGTACCAGCGTGTGGCCACGTAATCTGTCAGGGCCTGGCCCTCAGACCCCTCAGGGAGGCCGCTGAGGGAGCGGGCAAGACCAAAGTCACAGAGCTTCACCAAGCAGCTGGAGTCCAGGAGAATGTTGGAAGGCTGCAGGAGAGGAGGTGGGCTGAGGGCTGTCAGGGGTGGGTGCACACAGTGGGGGGACAGGGCCCACGAATGGAGAACTGGTGGCACCTTCTGGTCCCGGTGGATGACGCGTCCTGAGTGGATGAACTTGGTGGCCCGTAGGAGCTGGTAGATGATGTAGCGCTTGTGGATGTCCTTCAGCAGCCTGCCCTTACAGATGACAGCGTTCAGGTCGGTGTCTAGGGGAGCATGTGGGTCAGCCTGGGGGCCCAGGCAGAGTGCACAGGTCTGTCCCACTTTGGACCCCTCCTGCGGCCACAGTCCCCAGGTCCCACTGGCCACTCTCGAAGCCCTGTCCCTGACCCTGTCCTGGGCACACACACTTCCAGTGGTTCTGGCAAGCTTCTCAGGCCCGCTTGCTGCCTTTGTTGGTACAGCAATAAAAGTCTGTGGGATTGCTTTTAATACTTTATTTCCTATTGCCTTGTTTTATAAAACGGGTAGAAAAAGGAAAATACAGCTGCAAACAGTGGACAAAGCAGGAGCCTTGTGGAGGGGGGCTCAACGTGGTCACTGACAGGCCCAAGTGCTGACGCATCCCAGCTGTTTGTCCTTGCCCACCGAGGAACTGCCCTAGCTGAGGGCTGGCCACTATGGTGACCCGAGCAGCAAGGGGGGCGTACAAAGGGAGGCAGGCCACTGGAGGGTCCTGCACCAGGACTGAGCAAGGCCTCACTCACCCATAGACTCAAACACCAGGTAAATGTCCCTGTCATTCTCTGCCCGGATCACATCCAGGAGGCGGATGATGTTGGGATGGTCCCCAAGTTCCTAAGGAGAGAGCCAGGGGCTGTGTGCTTTGAGAGGCGAGGGTCTGGGCTTCTCCCCTTGTTTGGAGAAACTGCACCTGGGGAGGTGGTCAGATGGCCCTGGCCACTCACCTGGAGCAGCATGATTTCCCGGAACGTTCTCTGGAATGAGACAGAAACGTGAGTGTGGGTATGGAGGAAGAAGGAAGCCCACTTCTTAAAAGGATCTACAGGGATTGATGCTCGTCACCCACACCCACTGGACCATAGGGTCACAGAGCAACTGGTGCTCTGAGCAATGACAGAAACCTGCTGTGAACAGGCTTCAAAATAACACCGGAGCTAGCTACTCGGCAGCAGGGAGTTACCCCACACCCCTGCCCTTGTCCTTCTCACACCTCTTCTCCACTCACTTACCTGGGCATCTATCTTATCTCTAAAGGCATCAAAGATTTTCTTGATGGCCACGACCTCGCCAGTTCTCCTATCCACTGCCTTCCACACGATGCCATAGGCCTGTGAGAAGGCTGGTTAGCTTGTGGGGCACAGGGCCAGACTCCTGCCCAGCCCTCCCCTGCCCGCCAGACTGCTCCTCCTCCCCGCTCTGGCTCCTGGGAGGGAATGAGGGTGTGGTGAGGGGCTGTGGCTCTGGGCGAGGTCCCTGCAGCTGCAGGCTGCTCAGCTTGCTGCCCAGGAGGGTGATGGGAAGCAAGGCCCCAGGAGGAGATAAGGTCACAGATGGGAGATTCTGGGTGGGAGATGAAGCCTGTTCTGGGCACCTCTCCCCTCTTTCCCATCCCCCCTCCAGCCTATTAGCAAATCCTATTGGCTCCACATTCAGAGTTCATCAGAATCCCACCACTTGCTACCATCTCTGCTGCCGTGCCTGGTCTGAGCCTTGTGCCTCTCCCAGATCTCCTGTCTGGATCACTACACTAACCTTTTAGCTGGTCTCCCTAGCCCACACCACTATCCATCCTCTACAGAACAGGCAGGGTGAGTCTTGTGGCACCAAAGTCTGCTATCACCCTCTGTGTCATGCCCAGTGGAAGCTCTTGCAGTTTCCCAAAGCCGCAGGTGATCAGAGCCCTCCCCCTAGCCACTCCTATCCAGTTCACACCAACTCTGCTGTTTCCCCACAGCCAGCAGGTCCTTGCCTCAGGGCCTTTGCACTTGCTGTCTGAACTCTTTGGAACATTCTTTCTTTCCTTCCTCCCCCGTTACACACCCACACAGTCACACACCTTCACATACACTCTCATACACAATCCCACATGCTCTCGCACACAAATACAAATGCACATTTGCTCACACAAGGCTCTGGCTCTCAATCCATGACCATTTACCCACTCAGGCCCTTCCTGGGCCAGGCTTGGGATCCACCCATCGCCCTCAGCGACTGGAGTGGGCGGGCCCGGCCTCCTTAGAGTGTCCTATGGGCACCAGAAGAGGCAGCTGGGAGCAGGGGACGCTGGGCAGCGGGGCACTGGGGAGGGGGTTTGTCCGGGGTCCCACCGGCCTGAGACCCCTGGGCTCCCTTGGAGTAGGGCACTGTTAGAGCCCTGTTACAGGAAACTGAGGCCCGACGGGCTCGGTGTCTTGCCCAAGGCCACCCTCCAGTCCGTGGAGGAAACTGGTCGCGAGCCCAGGACCCCGGGCAGCGTCGGAGAGAACACACCTCCCACTGGACCTGCCCCCGCCCTGCAGGTGGCCGGGCTCACCCCCTTCCCCAGCCGCCGCTTGAGCAGGTATCGCTGGGCTACGTGGTGGTCCACCTCCGCGGCGCACATGCTGGCGGGGGGGCGCCGGCAGGCCTCTAGACGCCGGCGCGGCTGGAACTGTTGAGCCCGGTTGCCTTGGAGACTGGGCCCCCTCCCTTGCGCCTGCGCGGCGCAGGTGTGGGGCGGGGTGTGCGGCCCAAGCCCCTCCCGCCGCCCCGCCCCCGGGAGCGCCCCGCCCCGCCCCGCCCACCCACCCGGCCCCCGGCAGCGCCTACGCTGCGCCCCGGGTCTCCGAAGCCAGGCTGCCGGCGCGCGCGTGCGTGCGCGCGGTGCCCTGTCCACCGCCTCCCAGCTCCGCCGAAGTGGTGCGGGCGGTTAGGGCGGGGCTCGCAGGCCGCCCCCCCGCCCCCCGCAACTACCGAGCGGGCTGGGGCGGGGGCCGCGCCGTCCCCTGCGGGGGGAGCGCCGGGACTGGGGGCGCTGAGGGTTAGGGTTAGGGCCAGGGAGAGCTGGGGGCGGCTCTCAGGGCGGGGGCGTCCCGCCAGCAGCGCAGCCCAGGCCGGAGGAGGCGAGCTCGCACACACTCGGTGGGCGTGCAGCATGCCGCACCCCCTTCGGAAAACAGCTTTGGCAGTTGCCCCGACATCAATTTACCACGACCCAGGCGCTCTTCTGCCGGGTCATGGTAACTTCAGAGAGTTACTCACGAGAAATGAAAACAGGTCCACACGCAGAATCATACATGAATGTTCACAGCAGCTTTGTTTCTGGGAGCCCCAAACTGGAAACGACTCCAATGTTGCTGCAGGGTGTGACGCAGAGGAATGGATAAACAAAACGTGGCCCAGGCGTCCAACGGCACGTGGCCCAGCAAAAAAGGAAAGAAACTACAGAACACACCACATGGATGGATCTCAAAATCTTTACGCTGGCTAAGTAAGTCAGACCCCCCTCAAAAGAGTTCACTGTATGAACCCATTGATATAAAACTGCAGAAAATGCTATCTACAGTTCAGGGATGGCCCCCTGGGGGGACCAGAGGGAGAGAGCCACTGGAACTTTCAGAGGTAATAGAAATGTTCAGTTGTGGTGAAGCTTTCAAGGGTGTATACTTATGTCTAGGTTGTTTAAATCGTACACCGTAAATACATGGTTGCATCTCCATATAAAGCTGGAGGCCGTGGAGAATAAGCAAGGGAGAGAAGCAAGGTGGGAGAGACTGGCCTTCTGGTCCCCAGAGAGTATCCAGGGCTGGACAATATGCCCTCCCCCAGTAAACAGCTGGAAAACTGGACAAAATATGCAAAATAACTTTCTATAAATTGGACAACAAGCAGTGCAGAGCTGCGTTCTTGGGAAACCAGGAACAAACAACCTCTTGACTTCAGTACCAGCCCTGTGTCAGGGAGGAATGAGGGAAAATTTCTACCAGTCTGAGACAGGGAAACTCAAGGACTCCATAAAAATCTGCTTTTTTGCTCCATTTCCTGCTTGGATTCTTGCTAGGGCCTGCACCCCCACTTCACACAGGCCTCAGAATACAAGTAGTGCATGTCCTCCTTGTAAGGGACAAGGCGTTGGTGATTTCTCTAGAACAGAGAGCATCTAAGGAAGGACCAGGTGGGAATGACCAGACAAGTCAGTACATGCATATTCCAGACCACCAGTGCTCAGCACCTCCCTGCCGAGGCCTCCTGGCTCCCAGGAACACCACCTGAGCTCTCTCACATCTTGTTCTGACCAGTTCCTGGATGCCTGAGGGGACAAGTATACCAGACCACCATCCTTGATAAAAAAACCCCTTCCCCAAAGACTAGACTCATGCTCCTTTCCTTCCTGAGTCTCCCAGATGCTCTGTCTGTATCTGCTCTCTATCTTCAATAATCTCTGCTCTCACTTCCTGCTGGCTCATGTTTGATTTCTATCCTCCATGAAGCCAAGGACCATCTTGGCTGGTCCTGCAGGACCCCCTGGTTCCTCAGACCCAGCCTGCTGGCATCGAGTCCATGGAAAGAACAACTTGGTGGTGGGGTGGGGGTGGGGGGCAGAGGCTTGGTGGTGTTGCTGAACAATTGCCAGATTTCACTTTGGCAGGGAGGTCACTAAGTGCCAAGCAGCCACCAAAGCATTCAGGAGAGACCCCAGACATGCCACATCTCAATAAAATGACTAAGCTAGCTCTAGACTAAAGCCTATTCCACACCCATCGTGTGTGTGGAGAACAAGCCTTAAAAGGAACAAGATGCTACAAACATAGCCTAACTGCAGGCCAAAACCTTCAACATTCTTTAAAGGGAAACACCAACAAAACAACACTCAATAACATAAAATTCAGAATACCCAGCATCCAGAATGTAATAAAAAGTTACTAGATTTCGGGTGCCTGGGTGGCTCAGTAGGTTAAGCTTCCAACTCTTGATTTCAGCCTAGGTCTTGATCTCAGGGTTGTGAGTTCAAGCTCTGTACTGGGCTCCACACTGGGTGTGGAGCCTACTTAAAAAAAAGTGACTAGATTTACCCAATTAAAAATATGGGCAAAGAATTTGAATAGACATAGCTCCAAAGAAGATATGCAAATGGTCAACAGCACATGAAGAGATGCACAACATCATTAATCATCAGGGAAATGCAATCAAAGATACATGAGACACTGTGAGGCGAACAGATCAGGTGGAGGCAGGCAGTGTGGGCAAAGACAGAACAAAGGAGATAGAAGGGTACTGACCACACCACAAGGGAGCAGCGGGCAGGACAGCAAGGAGAGAGACTGCCGGGAGGCGGGTGGGAGAGTGGGGGGGGGAGGGCTGTATTTATTGGAGGGGAGTGAGAAGGTATAGAAACATATGGAATTTTCCCTTTTTGGTATCTGTGCCTGGTTGTCAGTGGCCCATTGGTCAGCGAGGGCCTATGGCTGTTTTGAGGTGGGTCGCCTAATGAGCCTGTTTGCACTCAGTCTCGTGGTCGTGGCGGGCCCGGTTACCTCACGCAGGTTTCCAGTGCTCAAGCCTGTGCCCTCAACACAGCCTCTCCAGATACCACTCCACACTCAACGAGGATGACTGCAGTAATAATAACAACAGGAACCACCACCACGAAGTCTTCACAAGGATGGAGAGAAATTGGACCTCTCACTGACTGCTGGTGGGCATGTAAAATGGTGCAGCTGCTGCAGAAAATAGTTGGCAGTTCCTCAAAAAGTTAAACATAGAATTAGCATACAATCCAGCAATTCCACTTCTGGTATGTGCCCAAAAGAACAGAAAATAGGTATTCAAACAAATACTTGCATACAAGCGTTCTTAACATTCACAAAAGCCAAAAAGTGGAAACAACCCAAATGTCCACCAACTGATGCATGGATAAACAAAATGGGGTCTATCCATACAGTAGAATATAATTCAGCCACAAAAAGGAATGAAGTGCATGCTACATATTACAACATGGTGAGCCTCAGAGACACTGTGCTAGGCAAAAGAGGTCACATACAAAAGATCACATACACGGGGCGCCTGGGTGGCTCAGTCATTAAGCGTCTGCCTTCGGTTCAGGTCACGATCCCAGCGTCCTGGGATCGAGCCCCGTGTTGGGCTCCCTGCTCCGCGGGAAGCCTGCTTCTCCCTCTCCCGTCCCCCTGCTTGCGTTCCCTCTCTCGCTGTCTCTCTGTCAAATACATAAATAAAATCTTTAAAAAAAAAAAATCACATACACGATTCCACTTATATGAAACATTCATGATAGGTAAGTCCACAGAGACAGAGAGCAGATTGGCAGCTTCTAGGAGTTGAGAGAAGGGGGTAGGTAGTGACTGCTTAATGGAAACAGGGTTCCCTTTAGGGTGATGCAAATGTTTTGTAACTTGATAGAGATAGTGGTTACGTAACATTGTGAATGTACCAAATGCCACTAAGAGGTATACTTTAATGTAGTTAATTTTATGTGAATTTCACCTCAATAAAAAAGTTACAAGGCTTGTGAGGAAGCAGGAACACATGACCCATACCCAGGAAACAAATCAGTTGATAGAACTATACCCATAAATGACAAAGATGATGGATCTGGCAATGACTTTAAGAAACAGCTGTTATAAGTATGCTCATGGATTTATTTATTTATTTATTTTTATTTTTTTTTAATTAATTGGTATTTTTTTTTAAGATTTTATTTATTTATTTGAGAGAGAGAATGAGATAGAGAGAGAGAGCATGAGAGGGGTGAGGGTCAGAGGGAGAAGCAGACTCCCTGCTGAGCAGGGAGCCCGATGCGGGACTTGATCCCGGGACTCCAGGATCATGACCTAAGCCGAAGGCAATCGCTTAACCAACTGAGCCACCCAGGCGCCCCAGTATGCTCATGGATTTAAAGAAAAACATGAATATTGACAAGACGAGAAGTTACAAAAAAAATAACCCAGTGGTATTTCTAGAGTTGAAAAATAAATTATTTGAAGTTAAAACTCATTGGATGGACTTAACATCAGAAGAGATGTCAGTGAACTTGAAAATACAGCAATAGGACTATCCAAATTGAAACAGGAAAAAAAAAAACAAAATTAAATTAAAGAACCTATGAGACAGTATCAGCAAAAGAGAGGGATACAGAAAGTATATTTGAGAGAGTAATGGCTGAGATTTTTGCAAATTTGAAGGAAAGTTAATACACTCACAAATCCAGGAATTTAAATGAAACCTAAGTAGGAAAAACACAAAGGAAGTCAGAATGAGCACATAACAACTAAACTGCTGAAAAAGTGATAAAAAAATACTAAAATTATCCAAAAAAAACCTTACAAACAGAGGAACAAAAATAACTATAACCACAGAATTCTTGTCAGAAAACAATTTCAAGCCAGAGGACAAAGCAAGGACATCATTAATGTGCTAAAAACAAAAAATACACAAATCAAAACAAAAACACTGCCAATCTAGAGTTATATACCCAGAGAAAATATCCTTCCAAAAACACAATACTTCTTCAGACAAACAAAAGCTGAGAGTATGTAACACCTATAGACCTGAACTACAAAAAATATATTTTTTAAAGATTTTACTTACTTGTCAGAGAGAGAGAGAGAGAGAGAGAGGCAGGCAGAGGGAGAAGCAGGTCCCCCGTGGAGCAGGGAGCCCGATGTGGGGCTCAATCCCAGGACCCCAGGATCATGACCTGAGCTGAAGGCAGACACTTAATGACTGAGCCACCCAGGTATCCCTGAACTACAAAAATATTAATGAAAGTTTACCTGGATGAAGAAAAATGATTCCGGATGAAAATCTGGGTTGAAATAAAAAAATAAAGAATCCTGGAAATGGGATACAGTGGCTAAATATAAAACACATTTTTCTCATCTGGTAAATTTCACTCAGTTGACTGCCCTAGCTAGACCTGGTAGCTCAATGATATGATCAAAAGTCTATCTCAGATCTAATCACAACCATAATGAGATACCACCTCATGCCCATTAGGATGGCAAGAAAACTCCAAAAACAAATAAAAAAACCAAACTAAACCAAACAAAAACAGGAAAATAAAAAGTGTTGGTGAGGATGTGGAAAAATTGGAACCCTTGGACTCTTTTGGTGGGATTGTAAAATGGTGTAGCCAATATGGAAAACAGTATGGTGGTTCCTAAAAAAATTAAAATTAGAATCACCATATGATTCAGCAATCCCACTTCTTGGTATATATCAAAAAAGAATTGAAAGCAGGATCTCAAAGAGATATTCGCACATCTCTTGTTCATAGCATTATTCACAATAACCACGCGGTAGAGATAACCCAAATGCCCACTGGTGGGTGGATGGATAA